GATTTTTTAGATATATGCAATTTTTCATGAAATTGGATAAAATATGCAAAAAATGCATAGATATGCACTTTGCATATTTTCCGCCCTCTAATTATTATTATTATTTTGACAACTATTCTTAGCATCCACGGTGGAAGTTTATTGAAAAGCAGAATGGGCGTGTTTAGCAGATTATACTTCTTTAAGGTGAACCCTATTTGCAGTAGAAACCGGTAAGTTATCGCCATTTAACCAATTACAGTTTAAAAGATTAAAGTAATATTTCCGCGCTTTCGAGCGTAGACACAGATCAAAGAACACGACCTATGGTCAATTTAAATTATTGTAAAATATGTGTACTACGTATATTTCCACGTTTTTGCGTATTTATTGGGGGAAAATTTCTTTAAAATGCAACTCTTGAAAGGAACAAAGGAATACACGTTTTCCGAATACCGGTACCGAGTGCGAACTAAGAGGACATTATGATTGGTTGCGCAATAAATAATGATTTAGTCTCTTATAACACTAGCTTCTTTTGGTATACAGGGTGCTTGAAATAAAAGGCGAAACATTTCAAGGGATAATTTCTTGTGCGAGGTAGAATGTAGTTTAGTTAAGTCACTAGTGCGCCATTAAGACGTTGCAACGATACGCAAAAAAGTAGGACTTGCTTTTTTCCAGCCAAGAAATGGTTAGTGAAGTTAAGTAAATAGCAATCAAAGTTTTTCCGTTAATAAGAAGCATGACACCCTTTTTTCGCGTTTTACAAATAATTGAGACTTGTTAAAATATAAACTGAACTACAACTTTTATTATTTTTTAACTAAACTGTTTAAAAATCTCCACTTCAACAAAACAAAAAACTTTGAATTAGATACTCTTTTTAATTAATAAATTTACATCTTGAAGAATAAAAATATTAAATGTGAAGTTATGCGAGTCGAAAACTGATCCTTCATTCGCAGTGATTATTATTTTTAATACATCATACAGCTCTTAAGTAAAGTTAATTTTGTTCGTACCTGTACAATAACAAGATTTCGGGTAAATTTCCCATTCAAGAGGACGAGTATCTATGAGCTACTTTTGCTACAAAATTTTAACGAACAGCTAGTAAACCGTGTAATAATTAAGAATAAATTTCATTTGTCACTTCGAAGACCCGTAATTCCATAAGGAAGCCAGATCAAATTTTTTTTTTATATACAGGGTGGTCTTCAACTAATGTCCAAAATAGAATCACAAAAATTTGTGTTTAAGGGTTTTTTAGATCGGCAAATCCAAATTCCCTATTGGTTGGCTTGTAGCTTCTAGAGGGCGCTAGCTGCAATAGTCTGGAGCCATTTAACACATCAGAACTTTTTTGAGTTTTAATATATCGCTTTTTTACGGTTACGTCATACGGTTGCTAAAATCACATTTTGCGATATTTTTTAAACATAACATGTGTACTTGTTCGAATTTGATATCTCTCACCATTTTCGAGATATTTCACATTGAAACATATAGTGATTTTTTGGAAATCTGTCTCAAATATGTCTAAATAAAAGAATTTTTTTACGCAAATTTTCTATTAACCAAAACTTAACAAACATTAGACAGTATTAATTTAGGCACTTTAGGTAATAAAGGGTGTCTCATCAAGAGCGCCGGATTTGAATTTGCCGCCATTTTTTTTGTGTGACTGGTTTGACCATAATTTTTGGACACCTGTGATGTACAGCCCTTGCGATTCAAAGTTATGGAGCAGTATTCGAACGAACAACCTTTAATTATTGTAAAAACAAACAAAGCAACGGAAATGCACTAAATGTTAATGGTGATTAGCAATATGCTAACCGAGTTTTTGCGACCCCAGTTCGATCATATTGATGTGTAGAATATGCTTTTCCACACAGCTCGCGAAACAATCACTTTTCCGTTGGGCGATGTAAATTAGCCACCAAGATCCTGCGATTTAACGCCAATAGACTTCTTTCTTTGGGGTTACGTGAAGTAAAAGGTGTATGTGAACAAGCCACAGACAAGTTAAAGAAGAGATACGATGCATTATTGCTTAAATTGGGCCACAGTTATGCGAAAACGTGATCCAGAATTTTATGAAAAGAATTACCGTGTGCCAGAGGTTTCGTGGTGATCATTTGCCGGATGTCGCATTTCATGTTTAATTGCAGTTATTCCTCTTAACATTGAAATATACATTTTTAGTTCTAAAAAAATATGTATTTTTTTTTAATATTAAATCCGGCGCTCTTGTTGAGACACCCTTTATAAGTCAATTTACGACAATATTAGGGATCTAATTTGAGCTAGTTCAAAAAATGACTAGATCTTTCAATGTGAAATATATCGACTTGAATCAAGTACACATTTTTAATTTCGGAAATATTGTAGAACCAGATATTGCCAATAAAAAAGCGATATATTAAAACTCAAAAAAGTTCTGATGTTTTACATGGCTCCAGGCTATTGCAGCTGGCGCCCTCTAGAAACTACAAGCCAATCAATAGGAAATTTGGATTTGGCGATCTAAAAAACCCCCAAACACAAATTTTTGTGGTACTAGTAAAACTGGTTAAAAATCTATTCAGAAAAAACGAAATTTTTATTTACCCATTGGACACTGTATCTCGGAATCTATTAACTTTCGGATAAGACAAATTTACTTAAAATGCAATATTTTTGCCTAAATAAAATGAGAGTGATTTTTTGGACATTAGTTGAGGACCACCCTGACCACCACCTTGGCCTTATTTTCAGGTCTTCTGTTGCCCTATCATTCTTGACCAACAATTTCGGGACACTCTGTATACATAACCGGATGCAACACAAACTGCTCTCCTCCTTATTGAACTGTTTACTTTAACCAAACTTCATTTAAAACAACACTATGGCCAAATTCTCGATTTATTTTCTGTATTTAATTTGGAGAAGTTTTAGCCACACTCAGATAACATACATTTTATAAAAAATGTGGACTGACCATATTTTTAGTTAAAGTCAAACTCAAAAGTTTCCATCTATAGATGACACGCTAGGTCCACCTACAGACGTCCAAATGCAAGAACAGTCTTGAAATTTGTTAAGCTTGGAATGCATAAATCAATAATTGTAGCAGAATAAATTATGTACCATTGTTTCTGAAAGAATGCTTATGTGGGAACATTACATTACAATTACTAATATCTGATCTTATCTCTATTTCGGTATAGCATCGTTAATGATTAGGCTACTCAAAAAACACTTCTTAGAATCGTTTCTTCATCACGAGAGCGTATGTAGTCCTTTAATTAATGGATAACAATCTAGTGCTTAACGACACTGATTATATCCATTAATTTTGGATTATGTCTTGGGATTTGAAAGACAAAACGAGACGCCAGTGGATTTTGTAAACTTACAAAATGGCTTAGCTTAAAACTATTGTAAAACAGGTCTTTAACATTTTTTTGTTTGGTCTCTGGTTCCTGGTTCTGGATAAAAAAATTGATTTTAAGATAAGGCAAACTGATTTAATTTGGGATCTATTAATATTACAAATTGGTCCCCATAGCTTTGTGTTTCTAAATCTTCATCCATTTAATTCAATTTTG